TATGGCCATATCACGTTGAAACACCGGTTCTCGTACGATCACCGAATTAAGGTAACATCGAACCTGGCCAGTACCTAGATGGGTGATCGCTTGGGATTACTAGATGCTGTAAGCTTGGAAGTGCGAGTGATGTAATAGAAAACGGCTGGAAATCGAAGAGCCGAGTTCTAATTGGCATCGGATTCATTCATATTCATTTATGCGCAAATACACTTGAGAAAAATATGGATCCACCTCTTATTGCGTTAATTAGTAGCACTTGTATCAATAAATCATTATTATCTCCAAAAATTCTTATAAACTAAAAATATGCTCTGGCTTTAAATGACTTGCAAAAAGTTGATCAGCCGTAGAAAATCTGTCTATCTATCTATCTATCTATCTATCTATCTATCTATCTGGCTTGTCACTTTGTATGTTTAATTTTCTCTCTAAGTCAAACTATTTAACTTGCCCTTTCTGCAGCATGTTTATCGTAACCCCCATTCACTTTACCTCTCTATTTTATAATTAGTGCATAAATTGATTCGCACTCACAAGCACAGTCTCAGTCATTCGATTTCTCCCTCTTTCTCTCTTCCTCACTCCTTTTTTATCTTTTGTAATATATTTTTTCATCGATTTTATAAACTTGCTGGAAGATTAATTTTTAAAATTAATATTCATAGAAATATCGTCATGCTAAATGATGAGTCCTATAAACACATTAGAGCTACACATGCAGTAGTGCCTCTAGGGCAAGACAGCTTGACAGAGTACATTTCTCTTCAAGATGGTTTTGAATTCAAAGTTTTTTTTTCTTCTAGATTGGCTGCCACCCAAGGAAAGAGACGGGAGTTTGTACATAGCTGGAGGAAAATGGATTCACGACTTTTTCAAAAGCATTAGCACAGGAATGAGCGAAAAAGAATTGACCGGAATTTTGGCCTCAGAAATTGTTTTCACGATATTATCTTCTTTCTCTCTGACTTGAAAGAAACCGCATCTGATTTTTCTAGAAAGCTGGTTGGTATCACAAGATAAGCCAACTAAAGCTCGCTTGGATAGCTTTATAGATAGATATGTACCAATTAGTTTATAGACTAATGATTGTCAATCAGTGACAGCTCCCAACATTAGTTTAGTTTAGTGGGCATATATTTTCATTTAGTATTCAGTCTCTCTCTCTCTCTCTCTATCTATCTATCTATCTATCTATCTATCTATCTATCTATCATCTATCTATATCTATCTCTCTCTCTCTCTCTATATATATATATATATATATATATATATATGTATTAGCTTATACGTTTAATGAAAGTAATATCTTGCATGAAATTTCAAATATTTCTATTTTCCGATAGAGAGATCAATCATATATCTTAGGTGGCTGTAACCCCTGGATCCCGGGTTACATCCGCGAAGGATTTTGCCCGGTCCGCTAACTCAATCAAAAAATAAAAAATGTAATTGTGAATTTAGTTTTGACTTCCACAAGAAATATATTTTGTCAAGCGGAAAATATAAAAGCCTATTGAATGGCATCATTTTTTGGAAGTACATGTGCTTGTGAACAACTTTTCGGAAATGAAATATACTAAAATCGTTTTTCGAATAAGGTTGGGTGATGACCACCTGGATGATGTTTTGCTCTTGTTGCTGACAAATATTTCACCTGGCGTGGAGAAGTTATTTAACTATAAGCAGAAACAAATGTCTCATTAAATAATTTGCCATTTTTAACTGTATTTCATTTGTAGTAAGGGATTTACATTTTTTGTTGATTGTGTTAATTGTTATCCTGATATACCTGCAATAAAATAAGGAACCTTGTTTAAATAATATAACATTAACTTCGTTGTTTTTAAAACTCCCAGACCAATGCAGTCTTCTGGACGTAGCGGTCAGGGTCGAGACAATTTATTATAGTAAATTTGATATCATGGCCCTCCTGCAAGACACTGCATAGCTTTCTGGCCCTCTCACCCCAAAAGGTTGCCGATCCTTGATATATCTCTATAAGTCATAATCTATCTATCTATCTATCTATCTATCTATCTATCTATCTATCTATCTATCTAATGGTAATCTAGATAGATATATCTAGTTTACCATTCTAATAATTTAGAAAACGCACCAAATATCTTATGTTTATTATAATCGAGGCAATCGATTAGATTTACCATGATTAGTCTGTTTGCGGAATGTAGTAAAAGGTTTAATAAATATTATAAGGATAACCGATTTTGTTCAAATTCCCCAGAGAAACATAAACCCGAGAAGTGATTGATTTAAAAACAGGCCGACATCAAAGTTCGGATCAAACGAAAATAATCAGAGGCGTAAGTTAAGCAAAATCGTTTCATTATAATGACCTGGAAATGATGTGGGCATAAAAATTGTGAATTTGAAGCCTGGAAGCACGCAGTGGAGCGTATCTCTAATAGCCTAATGTGCCTTGTCGATTTTCTTTGTATGATCGATTGGGATCGGTTGCTGTTTTAACATCAATTATTCTCTCCTTCATTCATTTGGGCTTCAAAACAAAATTTAGTAGACTACTAGTTCTTTTAGTCTCCACGCTGATGTAATTCCTAAGCCATATTCAAATGTGCATTAGTTATACAGCTAAAATTGGTCAGTAGATGGGCTGTGAAAGCGGAAACGAAAGGCAACTTTGTATCTGTTTTGGTTTACATCAAGACAAAAATAAAAGTGACAAGAAGCAATACCGTTGAAATGGCGCGATCTACAGAATAGCAAACTTGAAAGTAATGTTTCTCTGTTTTTCATTTCGTGCAGGACTATTGACCGCAACAATGTCGCCTTTCTTCATTTTGTCTTCCCTTTCTTTAAATTGCGGCATCTATCTATCTATCTATCTATCTATCTATCTATCTAAGTATGGTTAATATACAATATCATAACTCTTAATGTCACAGTCTATTCCTGTCTATCTATCTATCTATCTATCTATCTATCTATCTAAGTATAGTTAATATACAATATCATAACTCTTAATGTCACAGTCTATTCCTATCTATTATCTATCTATCTATCTATCTATCTATCTATCTATCTATCTATCTATCTAAGTATGGTTAATATACAATATCATAACTCTTAATGTCACAGTCTATCTATCTATCTATCTATCTATCTATCTATCTATCTATCTATCTATCTATCTAAGTATGATTAATATACAATATCATAACTCTTAATGTCACAGTCTATTATCTATCTATCTATCTATCTATCTATCTATCTATCTATCTATCTATCTATACATGGTTAATATACAATATCATAACCTTAATGTCACAGTCTATTCCATTCATCTATCTATTCATCTAATCTATCTATCATCTATCTATCTATCTATCTAAGTATGGTTAATATACAATATCATAACTCTTAATGTCACAGTCTATCTATCTATCTATCTATCTATCTATCTATCTATCTAAGTATAGTTAATATACAATATCATAACTCTTAATGTCACAGTCTATTCCTTCTATCTATCTATTCATCTATCTATCTATCTATCTATCTATCTATCTATCTATCTATCTATCTATCTAAGTATGGTTAATATACAATATCATAACTCTTAATGTCACAGTTCAGTCATCTATCTATCTATCTATCTATCTATCTATCTATCTATCTATCTATCTATCTAAGTAAGGTTAATATACAATATCATAACTCTTAATGTCACAGTCTATTCCTCTGTATGTATGTATGTATGTATGTATGTCTATTTGCTTGTTTGTCTGCCTGTCAGCAATTTGGAAATTGAGTATCACCGTTTTTTCACTTTGCTTGAGATTCATTTTTTCGCCTTCATTTTCTATAATCAATCACTTCTCTGTGGAATACATACCTACACACACACACACACACACACACACACACACACACACACACACACACACACACACACACACACATATATATATATATAAGCGCACACACATATATATTTCTACAGAGAGTAAGAGAACATAATGCATATATAAATATTTGTATAAATATACGCACACGCATGAAAATATAGAGAACATAACGTTCTATTTTCACAGTTAAACACTACACCAAGAAAAACACATATGCACATTGGATAGAACTTATATTAGCGCACACGCCTTTATTTGCACACAAACCTGGTACCCCACCCGCGTTACACACACACACACACGCGCGCACACACACACATACACACGCACATCAGTATATACATCTAAGCAATCATTGGCAAGCACATTATTTCTATTGTTCCACCCCTGGCACTTGATATTATCATTCTTCTAATTACCTTTCTTGAAGCAATATCACATCAAAGGAGGCCGTTTCTTTATTGAAAATATAAAAATCGATGAAGCATCATTCAGAAGGCGTCCATCACAAACAGACAGCCTATCCTCTGGCGTAACATCACCAAACAGCGCTGCCACTTTCTCTGCCGGCACCGACTCTGTCGACGCCAATGTCACTCACATTCACTCACATTCCAACTTCGTCGTGTATCACACATCTATTTCCCTTAAACCATCAACTGCATTCCTCATCTGTTCCCTCCTACTCCTTCTTTACCTCCGCCCACTTCACACGCTTGTAATCTCCCATTACGTCACTCACATCTCTTTGGCGGAGCCCAGTCGCCATTAGTTTCCTCCATTTTATCTACACGCAGAAAACATTCTTCGTCTCCTTACCAACACAAAAGCCTACTTACATTCAAACCTTTAGCTTGGCTTTTAAGCTGATGGTGAGCAATCGATATTCGATGGCCACTTCTTAAAAGCAACTTTTTTTTTTATGAGAATTAAATAGGTTATAAGAAAATTAATTAATCGTATGAAGATGTAATTTAATGATGAGAGAATTTAAGTGTATGCATTTCTACTATGCTATCTATCTATCTATCTATCTATCTATCTATCTATCTATCTATCTATCTATGTGCTGAAAATTTCTCGGCCAAACAAAGAAACCCTTTGTGTTTGGTTGGATTTTTGGAACTGAGTTGAGCCGATAACTTTTCAGTTCCCCTCTATATTATATATATATATATATATATATATATATATATATATATATATATATTAAGCTTATTCAGAGAATACAGTTTTCCATAGAAAGCCTTTTACAAACCCTTCACAACTCTAATTTCTTTCAGTAATACAACACATCAAAAAAACAAAAACAAAAAAAAACAAAACAAAAAACAAACACATCATCAACAACAAATTTCTCCGTATGAATGAGCCACACTTCATTGTTTATTTCTCGTCTCGTTAATAAAGGTTACAGGCGTGTCCGAAAATTTTGATTTTAAAATATTTTTCTTTATGCTTCGGTTTAGTCAAAGGCCCACTAATATCAAATAAATATCATCAGTTTTATTGATAATATTGTTATCATTTTCTTGTTTCTCGATTTTCATTAAATACAATCACACACACGCATATGTCTCTCTCTCTCTCTCTTGATATATAATCTGATAGAAAGGGTTAATTGAAGACGATTTTACCACTAATAGAGCTTAACTAAAAATTGAACCCTGAATAGAAGTTTTTATTTTTGCACTCAATATACTGCTTAACACAATCGAACCTTGGTAAACATTATGACGAGTGACTTCTAAACAAAATGCTCAAAAAGTCATATATCATGATAAGCTCAATGGATTTTAGTTATTCCTAGGCTAAATGGTGCTTTGTAAATTTTAAAAAGGCTTGTGTAAAAGTTCTCATTTCCCAAGATTTGATCAAATGACTAAACATCAGAATTTATTTTGGGATCCCTTTATGGTCAGATCAACAATTTTTCACTATATATATATATATATGTACATATATATATAGTAATGATAGAAACTCATTTGTCTTTATTATCAAAGGGAAAATATCAAAGGACAAATATAGAAGATTGTAAAAGTTCCGACAAAGCAATTAAGACTTTCTGCAAAAGGATGTAAAAAGTGTAATTTCAACAAACACCGCAGAAAAATAAACTAACGTAGAATAAACAAAACTTGGAAACAATCCAGTATTTTTTTTTATTTATTCTTTATAATAGGACGGTTTCATGAAGCAAATGAATGAAGATATACGATAAAAATTCAGTGCTCTTGAGTGAAGTATTCTCTAAACTAGGTTGTTATATGTATAGATATAAATAAACAAATCTAAACGTGTCTGCAAACCTAGCATCTCGAAATATAACTTTATATATTCGGCTAATACAATTTCTTATTTAGTACATTAAAATAAAATCCTATCTGTTAAAAGCTCTATTCATTATTTACATTTGTTAACACTTGTTTGAATAACTTTTATTAATTATACATTTAATTGTAATTATATTCTGTATTGGTATAGCATTTATACTAACGTTAAAAAATGAAGAAGAATTTTAGTGACTACAAATTCAAACAGCAATTTCACGACAGGATGTAAATTCAGTCAACTCCTCTCAACTTCAGTAAGTTATACACCTGGGTACTACAAGCTAATCGAGTTTTCCACACGCTGATTTTATGAATTCATAAAGTGGCCTGAGCTGGATGTCTAACCTTGTCATCAAGTTAGATTGCCTTTTCAAGTTTAATTTTAGAAGTTGGCATTAGAAATGCTGTAAGTCGTAATTTCTCTTTGAAATTAAAGCATCTGACTAAAGAAACAAGATTCATAAGACAACCGGATCCTTTGTTAATCAATTGTTTTAAATAACACAATCGTATGCTTTCATGTATTCTAATTACGCCAAGAAAAACAAATGCGTTGTAGATGCCATTATAACGTACTAGTTTCGTTCTCAATTTAAATAACCTTTTGGTATCTATTTGATAGTTCTCCAATAAGGGAAAACGCGTCAGCTGAAATAATTCAGATGACGCGTCCATACGGAAACTAGGAAACCCTCTAAAAATATCAATAAAGCTCGTTAAACGATAGAATATAATGAGATCTGTGAATTTAAATTGCTCGTAAAGCAATAACAAACAAATATCATAGCATCAATATAGCGTTTCATTTCTGTTTGCCTATTTTATAGACAAAGAATGACCGCTAAACTCTTCATAATTGTTGAAACCTCATAATTTATCATGTTTATGGCATATAGGCCACGTGCTGAATTTTGTCAGCTTTACTACTTCTAGTCATTAGACACCGTCACAATATTTGTGATTATGTATTAGGCCAAAGTTTGACCAAATAGTTTTCTTACTTAAAAACTAATTTTATGCAATATATTCAAAGTAAGATATCATACAGTCTTTACATTTGAAGCTGAAATTCTACGAAATTTTATCTGAAAAAAATATTTTCTATAAATAATCAATTTATGCAAACTACTCAATCTGAATTGTATTTATAGAAATACAAAAACACGATCATTTCTTAAAAATAAGTCTTTACTCAAGAGACACCCGCAAATCATTGTAGATGAGATGAAACCTTACCAGACTCGTTAAACTGATTTGCATTAGAATTGTCTGTGACCAACAAATATTTGACCAATGATTATGAATTAACACGAGCCAGATATCATAAAGTAGTTGTATATGATTGCGGATCATATCGAATATAATCTGTAGTGGTGGATCTAGATGTTGAGGATTTTAGAGACGATCCGCCCTGGGTGGAAACTTTTCGGAGGCAGCATTTATGTGAATTTGTGTAAGGAAGTAGCAGGTAAAATTAATTGCATTATTTTTACCTAAATTCATTTTATGGTTAAATACAACCGAAGAATCACAATAGCACAGTTGGCAACAATCGTAGGCATCAGCTATGGATTTGCACACGTCATAGTGTATGATGAAGGGATATTTTTATAGTGACTATATCGTTATTGTAATCAAAGTTTATTTTAAAAATTGTTATTTACTAAAAATCTTATATTTTAAATAAGCTTTACTCTCTTATTTTGTTGTGACGTTTTTTAGTCTCCAATCAAAATAATAACCGTAATCTTTATATTTTCTAGATGTCAAGATTTAAACTGCTGTTTAGAGGTTCAGTAAACACTCTGACCTCCCGTGTGACACAAAGGCTACATACGCCGCTGTTAGTTGCAAATGATGGGATCAGAAAGATCGAAAAGTGTTTAGAAAATTGAATCATATTGCTTTTGAATCTATTGTTGCGGGCCCGGTAGTATGCAGTGCTGATTTATTAAAAGGTGGCCTTGTGCCAGATACTTCTTGTGACTACCGAATCCACAAACAAAGTAAAAATATTAAATGAGTGACCTTTAGTGAGGAAAAAGGGTCACTCAACAAGTGCATAGAAATAATACAAAGTAGATAGACAGGAGGAAACGACAAAACGTGTCTGGTTGATAACATATATGAAATTTTATTTTAATAACAAATAATCTTGTCTCAACAGTGGAGACTATCAGAAAAGTTTAGGTCTGTTTTTAGCCTGTAGGCAGTTAGTAATATGTAGAGACTAATAGAATATTAAAGTTCCGCGCCAAAACAGAAAAACCAAGATGGCTAAGGCGGGAAAAGCTTCTTCAGCATGAAAGTTCTGGAATATTGTCTTTTTGTACGAAAGGTGTAAGCATACACAACAAGGAAAAATACTCACTGCGAGGTTTAATAATGTGTGTGTAATGCTATCTTTTTTTTTAAAACTGGTTCGCAAAGGTTAGAATTCAAAAGAGGTGTATGAAGTGTTCATCAATCTTCAGTGAAGGAAAATTCTGAGTTGTTCGCATCAAGACGAGGAAATTAGTCTTGGAAAAGTGTGCTGACGACAGTGTCGTAGAACTCTGGTAGTGAATAGAGGAAAGTTCGAAAGTTGTTCGCATCAAGACGAGGAATTTGGTCTTGGAAAAGTGTGGTGACGACAGTGTCATAGATTCTGGTAGAAAATGAAGTAGGTTCAAACATGTTGTTCATTTCAAGACGAGGAATTTGGTCTTGGAAAAATATATTGACGACAGTGTCGTAGTCTCTACATTTTCTAGCTGAAAACGGAGGAAAGTTCAACATGCTGTTTGCATCAAGACGAGGAAAAAATCTTGGAAAAGTGTGATATCGACATGTTGAAGTTTTGGTTGGTTAAGAATAAGACATTCCGGCCCGCGTATGGGTTAGGGGCACGGAATAAATGAGTTGACCTTCTAGCGTGAAAATCAGGCTGCAACTAATTTGAAAAAGCTGTCCGTCGGTGACGTCAGGAAACGCGCGGGAAAATTTCAAATTCTGATCCTAGACGGTATCAGGAGTAGCCAGCAACCTTCCTCACGTCAGCGTTTACTGCTATATATAGCTGAACGTGACATGAAGTGGTGCAATCCGCGCGCAAAAGGGTTGAATTCACGATTCCACACTATCGTCATTCTGACATCATGCTGTAACAAATGACATCACGAAAAATGAGTTTCCTTGGTAAATAACTATAAATCAATTCATGTCTACTGTTATTGGTTTTATTTTACTGCTTTCACTCATTCAGTATTGGTAATAATTTGAAATTAACATTTTGTAATAAACTTACTCATCGGTAAGCGCTAAGTTCTGGCTTAGCTGCCGAGTATCAAGAACCTGGTATAATAGTTTCTCTCTTCGTCTGTAGCTGTTGATAGTATCACTTCTCATAAAGGGCAAAATTGTTCTTTTAAAATCAATCATGATAGTGTGGACAAAT